GATAGTTTTGAATAACAGTGGTGTGTCACCTAAAATGTTTAAATGTATACAATCCATATATAACGACTGTCCGTTCCTGTGTAAAGTTAAACAATAGCTTCTCAGATGTATTCGATTGTGACTTGGGTGTCCGTCAAGGCTGTGTATTGAGCCCGTTTTTGTTTTCATTGTTTATTAATGATTTAGCTGTTGAAATTGAGGCTAACTGTGAACCCGGAATTCAGCTCCATCCAGACATAAGTCAACTATTCCTGCTACTCTTTGCTGATGATATAATTCTTATATCAGATACTGTATATGGCCTCCAAAAACGCATCGATGTACTCGAACACTACTGCCAGAATTATTTCCTAAAGGTGAATCTTGATAAATCGAAAATAGTAGTTTTTAAGAATGGTGGAGTACTTTCTAGATCTGAAAAATGGTATTTCAGTGGTTGTCAGTTGGAATGTGTATCATCGTACAAATATTTGGGAGTTGTATTTTCAAAGAATTTATCATGGTCGAAACATACTTACAATGCTTCATTACGGGCTAAACGGGTATTGTTCTCGGTTCTAAAATCCCTTTCATCACTTAAACCTATTCTACTGAAACTATTTTTTAAAATATTCGATACTAAAATTGCTCCAATTATGTTATATGGGGCTGAAATGTGGAGTTTTGAAAACTGTAGTATCCATGTACTTGCTTGTAAACGTCTGCTAGGTGTTAAAACGTCTACTCCAAATCATGTTGTGCGAGGAGAGTGTGGAAGATACCAACTGTACATTTCTGCGTATAAACGCTGTATAAAATATTGGTGTAAACTTATGTCCCTCCCAAATTCACGATATCCTAAGAAAAGTTATGATATGTTATTTCAGCTAGCCACACATGGTAAAACTAATTGGGCTACAAAAGTCAAAACTCTTTTATATAGCCTTGGATTTGGATATATATGGGAGAACCAATACGTTATTTGCCCCGAATCATTTATTTCCGAATGTGAAGATCGGTTAAAATTTGCTTACGAACAGGATTGGCATTGGTCTTTAGCAAATGGTTCTAAAATGTTCCATTATACACTTTTCAAAAATTCATTTAGTCTAGAGTTGTATTTGTCTGCTATCACTATCAACAAATTTCGTGTTACACTAGCACAGTTTCGCTGTAGCTCCCACACTCTCCACATTGAGACTGGTAGATACGTTAATACTCCACGAGAGCAGAGATTGTGCAATAGTTTCAACCAATGATATGTCGAGAATATGTTACTGACACCAGTACTGTCCCTGCTGAAGCTATTTTTAGCTCGCATAAGAATGTAGAATTGTCGTCCATTGTTCGATGTCAATACATCAATGACAAGTGAGAATACCGTTGTTATCATTGATGCCGAGCTACACTATAATAAAAATTATAATCAAGTTGACAAGTATGTACATGACTACAGTGAACATGTACATGATCATGCACTTCGTAATATCAAAGACTAATATTAAATTGTGTGATGAATTTAACTGGATCAGTGGTAACACGTGATATTAATGTTCCATCAATTTCTTTCCTGCTTGATCTAGCCATGTCTACAAAATAAAAATAATAGAATTAGAAAGGAGCACAGAACAATTCTTAATTTCAGGCTAGAGCTGTGGAAATCTAGACTTTCCCAATCATTGTAGCCTTGCGTTGGTCTCATTTTGTCCTTTATTCTCTTGAGTCTACATCACAGCTCATACCACACAATAACAAGACCAGTTCGCCCCCCTGCCGGAGCTCCTTGATTTTGGTTATATCGTCTAACATGGCCAACTCTGCGTTTATGTAAACAAGAACATAATCAGTGAGGGATCCTTTATCATCCTTATTTGACTGCTTATAAAAATTTGATATCTCTCCTCACAGCTGGTTCATATATTTTTTCTGCAGAATATTCGAAACAGAGTGACTAAGTTGGTACTACATATGTATATGGTTCTATTTTAAGTGACTGCACCGCTCCATTATGAAAATAAATTGTTAGCTGTTTAACAACGATCTCAGCAGTAATCCAGATATGTATGACAGCGGTCTGTTGTAAAAGAAATGCAACTTGATTCTTGAAAGTTGTAACTTCTCCGCAAATAAGTATCACATGCAGTATACAGTATATCAACTGCAATATACAATAACAGAGTTGTCCGGAAACCTTCCCCAAAAATGTCAAATTTGGGGGGTGCATTTTGTTCACTTAAGTGTGAGACATAAAAAAATTTATCTTGAAGATACCAAGAAATTTGAAGGTTGCTGAAAGCATCTGGAAGGTTTCCGGAAGGTTTCCGGAAGGTATCCGGATGCAAATTTTCTTCATGTCTTGTTTCTGGTAAATAATGTTAGCCTGTGCATAACAGATAGCTGTTGCAATATTCTGTGTTACTTTTATGGAAAATATCCCCCTAAAACATTTTTGGAGAAGACAATTGTTCAATTTCATATATTGTTCTTTTCAGATGTTAATGGTATTTAATGAACAAACATCAGTTCTCGTATAATGATATCCTTAAATTTCATGTCCAGACTTCCAGTTTGTACAGAGAAAAAGAAAAAGTCATTGACAATGTGCTCACTTGGGCCTTTGGTCATTTGGGCATGTCATCGTATCCTAATTGCTTTGATCGATGTTCATAATATCAATCATTTGATTGTTTAATCCAGACTCAAATATTTACAGACCCCCGTCATACGGCTTTCAAACAAACAAACAACATGTGCATCGCTATATGTTTGTCTTCGGCATCAGTTCGCGATGTTGTTTGGTTGTTTTGTTGTTTTACACCGCACTCAGTAATATTCCAGCTATAAGACGTCGGTCTGTAAATAATCAAGTCTGGACCACACAATACAGTGATTGATATCCTGACCACCCGATCCCGTTAGTCGCCTCTTACGATAAGCACAGTCGCCTTTTACGGCAAGCATGGGTTGCTGAAGACCTATTCTACCCCGGATCTTCGCGGGTTAGTTCACGATGTAAAGTTATGCTTAGAGCGCTAGCGCTGTTCCAATCGTACCGTTCATCGCCAAATTTGCCATCCATGAGTTGATGTCCTTTGGTATCGACTCTCTGGTGGATCACTTCACAGAAACCGGGAATGCTGAAAAACCTGACTCCATTTTGCAGATTCTCAATTCGATCACGGTAATTATAACTAACTAATATTATCTCTTCACATCATTAATATAGCAAGGTTCTGTTATAAGGTTAAAAATGCATCTCAGAAACTAATGATAATAAATAGAACCCATTAGATATAGTTCGTGACAGAACTTGTAATTGGAAAGGAATCAATAGAGAAAAGACATTTCACATTTATCATTGGATTGGTCTCTGGCTATTATCCATGAGTTAATGAAACAAATGGGGAATTACAAGGTATAATCCATTTGGAGCTTCGGAGTGAGTCACGAAATCAATAGAGAGATGAGCAATCTGGCACGTAGGTTTTTGGTATTTTTCCGATGGCGACACACATGAGTTCATGGTCAGATATAAACTTGTAACGAATCAAATCGTTCTATGTTTCCACCAGCTAGTGACGAGCCTGGCCAGTCTGATCCTGTTCTGTAGTGATAGATGGGCTGAGAGTAAGTAAAACTATGTGAGTATAAACTGGTGTTGCGTTTCTTTATTATGCGTGTGTGAATGCTGCTAGAGACAACTTGGAGTAAGGGTCATTAGGCCAATCACTCCTTGACGGAGCCGAGCCACGGTACAAGGCGAGGGCAATGTCCTGGCTTAATTGACCACAAGGACCAGGAACGGCAATACATTTAGTAACTGTAGCAGGGTCGCACTGGACGCCCGAAAGCAGTTACGACATGGTGGAGTATGCGGGTTTTCTCTTGAACAAAATGTTTAAGACGATCCCAGTCTTTGTTTTTCCTATTGTCGTTCCGTGAGTAATTTCCATGTGTCGGACTTCCCTTCTACCGAGGACAACTTCCTCCGCCTCTCATCCCCTCCCCGCCCGCCCGCATCCGCTCCGCTCTTACAGAGATTACGGAAGTCCTTATGGCAATCGATACTCTGAGCGAACAGTTAGCTACCCTTTTGGCGACACTTATTTTTTCACCGTCCGAGATCAATACTTTTCACTGGAGTCAGAATCAGTATCCCCAATCCCTCGGACCATATCCTCCCTTGCCAACTCGGCAGTGTGAACAGACAGGACAAGAGTTTCATCACCAGCAGGACCAACAGCATATTTGACGACGGCAACCAACTTCGCAACGGGCTAACCTCACCAGTGGTGGTAAGTATGATTTTCTTTTACTCTGATAGGTGTCCCGCGTTTAATGCAAAATCTCATTTTTGTCTGACAATTTTACATGTCACAGGAATATGTAGAGGTCGGTGTCACTCAGGTCCCCCACCCAGCCATAGACATTTATAGTCACAACTCTTCAGGCAACTTTCCCACCGTGCTGAGCAAACCATACTTATTGACTTTTGACCAAACTCATTTGCCGTCACTTGACCCACCGGTTTCTAATTCTCCATGTTGTAAGCAGCCTTAATCTCCTCACTGGCAAGTCACTTTAAACAAAATGACAACAGGCATAGGATTCATGTTATTTAAGGAGAAAGTTAGTTTCTACAATTGTGGATTCAGGAGATTCTACTAGATTTTTAAGTCTTGAAGTTTTCAATGACTCATGTCTGTGGAAAGACATCATTTTGCAAAAGTCAGATATGTTACCTCAAATTGTTCGTGGTTTTTAAATAGAACATTTTTTTAAGTTGTAGCCAATTTACCGTCTATGATTTTAGGCTTAGATTTTCTGATACAACGCTGTCATTAATTTTCAATATCATACCTTGACCGTTCAAAATGGTTCAACAAATGTTCCTATCTGGGTAAATTGTATTTTGTTACCACCTGTTGCTGGTCAACAAACAATGACCACAGAACAAGAACAAATTACTGTTCTCTAGCTCTCAAATATTATAACCCCCCCCCCAATAAAAAAACAATAAGTTACTTCACTTTCACAGTTCAGTATCGATCGGGCAAAAACATGTTACTGATAAGAACGGTGCAGGCAATGATTTCGCCAAGTCAGCTGACGAGGACAAGATATCTATTTTGACTGTACCAGACATAGTATCAGATTTGTATGATAGACAGTACAGTTCCTTTCCCTCTTAGTGTAATCTCAGACCCCATAGAGATTAGTCGATAGCATAAAGGCAATATGACGGTTCAAGTGAAATGTAATGTTTTACTTACAACCTATCTAGGTATAATGATCACAGAGTATTTAAGTTTTGTCCACGCGAACCGGCTTAAACGGTTTGTCAACCCGAAAGATAGACCAACTAACCCAATTCCAGTTGTTGCTACGGACAACCAAACGATTCTGTCTCAATCTGACAACAATCATACGGAGATGACCGCCCCGACGCCTCAGACATTAACCACCAAGCAGGCACTAAACCCCTATTTTGATTTACAGGAGGTTGACGTTTTCATAGTAAAACGAATCTTAGCGCATAAAATAGTGAATGGAGAAAAGTACAACAAGATTCACTGGTAAAATTTCACTTTACAGGAAACTACATGGGAACCCGAATCTAATATCCCTCAAGGATTGATTCGTGATTACATGATCCAGAAGTCCTTAAAAAAGAAGCGAAAACGGTAGAATATATCTGAATATATTTGTCGAATAGTGTTTCAGATTAATTGTTATATTTCGTTTCCTTTTCAGTTACCGCACTGCACATTACATATTGGAGACGTCTAATATTGATTTTTGCATGTGTTTTATTTACAGGTTTAGAATTACATGATTGCTATATGCATGGAGCACGGCTCATATCGATACATGCTATAGATCATTTACTACGGTGTTAAGATGATTCAATTGTCACAAGGTTATAGGAAAATACAAACGTGCATATATGTTGAAAATGTGTATTGTAATTGTCAAATATTGTGTTTTGAATACTCCGAATACTCGGATTATTTACAGAGATGTGTTGGTTGATATTGAAGAATAAAAATCATGTTCATGGGTTATGGCCGCACATGTATTTCGCGGGCCACGTGAATACAAATGAGTTACAATATACGAGAAATGACGACTACGGGTCGCATGGTTATATACTCCTTCTACGAGATGATTCTGGCTGCACATGTATTTCGCAGGCCACTATAAAGCAAGTTCGCTTTGTGTGTATATACGAGAAAACAAATGAGTTACAATATACGTGAAATGACGACTACGGGTCGCATGGTTATACAATACGATTACAAATACAGTGAAGTAATATACGATGATGAGAATTGAGATACAGTCATGTGAACTGAATACCGTCATGTGACGTGGAATACAAAAACGAGACAATAAATAATGTTGTGATGATATATGTTGATACTGTAAAAGAAGTTCACTATTGTTGGATGGTGCTTACTCGCACGGTTCCCAGTGTGAGATTATATATTACATACTTGTGACAATTGTTATCATGCTTCTTAGATACAGTCAGCGAGGTGAAGATTCGAGATGAATACAGTCAGCCAGTTACTAGGTTTCACAAGACATGAAAACCTTTTCTTATAAAACATGAGTGATCTATGATATTTAGTTTGAAGTAAATAATTATGTTTTTACACTGATTTCTTTGAATTTTAGAATCCAGAGGCCTCCTCCGACCAGTATGGGTCTTATTCATTGTCATCGCTTTGGTAAGCATCCAGAATCGGGTTAATTCCGTGCATACGGAACTCCGACTTCCATGGGGAGTTGTCTTCGTACATATGTCACGAATCGACATTTCCCAGAATAAATGGATTCATATCTTTCAATATAAATTGCCTGATTTAGATGGAATGGGCAATAGATCAAGATATCGAGACTTTTGTTCCACATATACTTTGGCTTGTTATACCGTTTCGGCGATGGATGGATATATAGAAAAGGCCGAACGAGAGTTGTTCGCGTATTGGACAAATGTCCATAAAGACATTTACCTGTTAATTCCCCATATTAACATTTTTCACAAGGATTCCCGCACTAAACGGGCGATACTTCCTTTTATTGGATCAATAAGTCGTTCGCTGTTTTGTACTGCTACAGTCGAGGATGTTGAACGACTGGCGCGGTATGTTAAACAATTGTCGTTGCATGCTGCTAATACTTCTCGTGCTTTTCAAGTCCAAGTTCGTCAGATGTCGTCATTTATAACTAAAAAAAATCAACGCATTTTATCCGCTCTCGCGGGTATTGAAACGAACCATAAAGATATTATACTTGTCACTAAACAAATACAAGATGTGGAGAGATTTATTTTTATCACAGTGAAAATCTTGTTAGATCGCCTCACGTTCCTAACTACAAGAAATTGATGAAATGTATTTAGGCATTCAACAGTTAGTAAATCAACGATTGAGTCCATCTTTACTCCCAGTTTCGGAAGTAAAGAGAGCGTTAAAAATGATTCAAAACCGTCTCACGTTGCACATAAGGATCCAGGTTATTATTATCGGGAACGCACTGTTCACTGTTCTCGGAATTCAGTTTCAATTTTAATTTCGCTTATTGTTCCTATCCAGACTCATTCTACTCTCCTTGATGTATATCGAATCAATTCTTTTGGCTTACCATTTAATCAATCAAGTACGCATGTCACTCAGGTTATGAATTTACCAGATTATCTTGCTGTTTCGGAAGCTAAAGATCAGTATATTGAATTTTCGGCTAGGGATTTTCAAACATGTTATGGTGAACACGAAAAACACTGTCCAATTTTTCACAGTCCGAAACCAACAACATCGCTCACATGCGCACTTGCTTTGTTTACTAAAGACACACAAGAAATTAAATCCTTGTGTGATACAAAATTCCGATTAAATGGGCTACGTTCAATGGCTCTCGAAATTGAACCAGGCACAATTCTTTTAACTGGCATAAAAACCATAATACTAACGTGCAAGGGTCGCATTGAGAAGCGTCCTGCTTGTCAGATTTGTATATTTAAAATTCCTTGTTACTGTGCGTTGAAACTGGATGAATTCGACATAGACATGAGAATTCATAAATGTGTGAAAAAGTCAACTGCTTCAAAATTATACCCACCTAATCTTTTACTTTTATTGGAATTTTTTAATGCATCCATCTTAAAAAACATTGATAGTTTACAGCCCCTTCTGAAAGATTCCGCTTTTAAGATCCCACATTTATTAATTGATGATAAAGTTTTCGATGAAATTCGTAGAAAGGACACAGAATTTCAAGTTGATTTACGCCTTATTTCTCAACGTATGAAAAAGGCATAGGTCATTTCGGATAATTTAATTGATGGTAATTGGATGGATTCCCTCCCACCTTACGCTTTAGATGGGGATTTAACCTACCCATATCACTTGACGGCAAGCATAGCCGCGGGTTTATCCCTGTTTCTCTTAATAATCGTTCTTTTCTTATGGATTAAAGTTCGACGCTTATTTTTTGCATTGACCTTACTTACAGCAGGCTCCCCAACTGACGGTTTGCCAATTTGGAAAACACATCCAACTACACCCTATCCAAATTATTCCCCTCCTTCATTTATGTCGTTGATTAAATCCACTATTTCCATGGATGTTTTTCTGATCATATCGACAGTATTTCTGGTATTCATTTTGCTTTTTCGAAGAATAAACAAAAGTCAATCGACCAGTTACGTCACTGGTTTTACATTTGACAAATTCCTTTGCTTGTCATGAAATTATGGTCTCACAATTTTATCTTTGTCCCCGAGACCTCACGTTAACAGCTGGAAATCCTTTAACTAATTTTCGTATTCAGCGGGTATTCCTTACTTATTATTCACTGTTTGATTGTCACAATTTGCAAATTCAAACCCCGACACAATCTATATATATTTCGGGAAAAATTTATGTAAGTTGGCTAATGGCGTTTCGTTTAAAACGATTCCTTCCTTCCACGACAGGTGTTTTTATGGTACTTCAACATTGTGGAGTCGCTTTTCCGTTACCTCTGACATGATTCTTATATTAATTGCCATCTGCCACGGGACGATAATGATGATGATTTCCTTATCTAGATATTTTATTCTTGCCCGTGATATTTCATATTGTAATGGCTTTGTTTTACCCATTCTACGGACCAGTTATTTGTGAGTGTTATACACGCTTGTCAGTAGGGTACAGCGAGAATGTCAGAATTTAAAATGGTTAAGAATTTGAAATATTTGATCATATTAGTTATCCCCCTTTACAGATACTGATTTACAAGGAGAAAAGTTTATTTCTACTTATTGCATCTCTTTATTGTGACAATATTGAATGAATTACTTTTCTGTAGAGACAAGACCTGTATTTGGAATTTGGCTCTCTCATATGATGGTCATTTGATAGTCACTTGGTGACATTACGTTACATTATTCTACTATTGTGTATCTTCTATATTACTGTCTAGGTTCAATTACTATCGGTGTTTCAATGTGTGCTCTCAGCTCATCCCATAATAATTATATATGTTGTTCGTTTTGGTGTTATTAGCTACAAAGCATTTGCTGAATGTTGTTGATTAGAATTTTATGATAGTTAGTCCGACTGTACTGTTCAAGCAGTCCATAAGTTTTGCGATTTGATCGTGCTTATTAATGTCTTTTTATGATAATATGTGGCTACGCAATTGGACCTGTAACAATTAATCCAAAAATTCGATTCCTGCCGTTATGATCCTCATATGCAAATATGCATTTGCCAGAAGACTATTATTGTGTCTATAGTCTTATTTTTACAGGCAGCTGTCTGAGCTGCAGGTGGCACATCGTTCTATGTATTGATAATTCTATCATTGGTATGGTATTAGTCACTTGTTGTTCGTGAATTACCAGTATTTTTAAGTGTTGTAGATGATGGCCGTACCCCATTCTAAAGGGCGGAGAGTCAAGCACTTCCCCCGCTGTCGTCTGGTCCACGCCAAATCCTTATTCTGGCTCCTGGCTACACGCTTGCTGTCGAGGATGCACGCTGTCCTATCACCTCTGCCGCTAAACACAGACCGCTTGTTTCTGGTAAATAATGTTAGCCTGTGCATAACAGATAGCTGTTGCAATATTCTGTGTTACTTTTATGGAAAATATCCCCCTAAAACATTTTTGGAGAAGACAATTGTTCAATTTCATGTATTGTTCTTTTCAGATGTTAATGGTATTTAATGAACAAACATCAGTTCTCGTATAATGATATCCTTAAATTTCATGTCCAGACTTCCAGTTTGTACAGAGAAAAAGAAAAAGTCATTGACAATGTGCTCACTTGGGCCTTTGGTCATTTGGGCATGTCATCGTATCCTAATTGCTTTGATCGATGTTCATAATATCAATCATTTGATTGTTTAATCCAGACTCAAATATTTACAGACCCCCGTCATACGGCTTTCAAACAAACAAACAACATGTGCATCGCTATATGTTTGTCTTCGGCATCAGTTCACGATGTTGTTTGGTTGTTTTGTTGTTTTACACCGCACTCAGTAATATTCCAGCTATAAGACGTCGGTCTGTAAATAATCAAGTCTGGACCACACAATACAGTGATTGATATCATCAGCATCGACCCACGCAATTGGGATTGATGACATGCATCAACCAAGTCAGCGAGCCTGACCACCCGATCCCGTTAGTCGCCTCTTACGATAAGCACAGTCGCCTTTTACGGCAAGCATGGGTTGCTGAAGACCTATTCTACCCCGGATCTTCGCGGGTTAGTTCACGATGTAAAGTTATGCTTAGAGCGCTAGCGCTGTTCCAATCGTACCGTTCATCGCCAAATTTGCCATCCATGAGTTGATGTCCTTTGGTATCGACTCTCTGGTGGATCACTTCACAGAAACCGGGAATGCTGAAAAACTTGACTCCATTTTGCAGATTCTCAATTCGATCACGGCAATTATAACTAACTAATATTATCTCTTCACATCATTAATATAACAAAGTTCTGTTATAAGGTTAAAAATGCATCTCAGAAACTAATGATAATAAATAGAACCCATTAGATATAGTTCGTGACAGAACTTGTAATTGGAAAGGAATCAATAGAGAAAAGACATTTCACATTTATCATTGGATTGGTCTCTGGCTATTATCCATGAGTTAATGAAACAAATGGGGAATTACAAGGTATAATCCATTTGGATCTTCTGAGCGAGTCACGAAATCAATAGAGAGATGAGCAATCTGGCACGTAGGTTTTTGGTATTTTTCCGATGGCGACACACATGAGTTCATGGTCAGATATAAACTTGTAACGAATCAAATGGAGGTATTGAGACATGTGACAAGGACAGGTCAGGCTCGAACACTATAAAATGATACCCTCAACATTAGGAGAGGAGGGCGCGGTTTGCAGTCGATCGAGTCGAATCCCGATCGTTCTATGTTTCCACCAGCTAGTGACGAGCCTGGCCAGTCTGATCCTGTTCTGTAGTGATAGATGGGCTGAGAGTAAGTAAAACTATGTGAGTATAAACTGGTGTTGCGTTTCTTTATTATGCGGGTGTGAATGCTGATAGAGACAACTTGGAGTAAGGGTCATTAGGCCAATCACTCCTTGACGGAGCCCAGCCACGGTACAAGGCGAGGGCAATGTCCTGGCTTAATTGACCACAAGGACCAGGAACGGCAATACATTTAGTAACTGTAGCAGGGTCGCACTGGACGCCCGAAAGCAGTTACGACAGTTCCTTACTGTGAAATAGAATGGACATGTACATAGCGTTCTTATTTTACCAAACATTGTCACAATTTTTTTTTCAATTAAATGTTTGACTTTTCAGGAAGAGCAAACAGATTTCCTCACAAAGCTTAAAGAGCTAAAGGATTTGCAAACTGTACACGATGCACAACAGGTTGAACAAGATCTAACTGTTATTCATGAACATTTGGACACATTCATCACGTCTTATAAAACGTGCTTGCTGGCAAATACAACCAACAACTGTAACAAAACACTGGAGAATGAAAAAGAGGTCTTGAAGATGGATTTAATGAGGATACCCAACTTGTTAAGAAAACTGCATCGATTGTGATTGATGGTACTTTTAAATGGGACAGAATCGATAAACCACAAGATGCAGGACTGAGATGTCCACGGAGAGATTCTAGTGAGGTATTTTCTTGGGAGGAGGCATCGCCCGATGGAAAAGCTGGCTTTTACCTGAGACAGAAGAGGGGATGCTATTTGAGTTTCGGTAGGCCTTTTGTGTTGTACAAAAAAGTGGTACCAACGTCAATGATAAAATTGACAGGAAAGAGTTTCTTATTTGTAAACCCACCAAAAATGATGCGGTCACATTTCTGATAGCAGCTGACGAAGCAGACATCGATACAACATACAGCTTCAAAGAAGTAGAAACTGGAAAATATTTGAACATTCACACAGAGCGCACAAGTGTTAATGACGAAATCGACAAAATACTGACATTGGCACTCTTCCTTGACGAAGACCAATTCTACTGGAAACAGGCACTGGAAGGATAAAAAAACAGACCATGTAATGGTAAGATATCCTGAAGATCAGATCGGTACCAAGTGAAATCATGAAGTGGTAATTATTGAAATAATCATTTTGGTTTTACTTATCAGATAAAACAATATTTGGTAAGCAGAGGTAAATATAAGACATATCTACATGTGTAATGGGTACAATGTGTGAAGCTAATTTCTGGTGCCACACGCCGGGATAGTGCTGGTATATTTCTCACTCACTCATTGACTACATTTATCGATATGCATTTCTGAAGCATTGTCAAAAAGACCAAACGCTACACTTACTGATGAAGCGTCTGTGTTAAGATAATCACTTTTGCATTGTGTTTCAACCTGTTCAATTGTTTCAGAATCATCAACTGTTGCAGCAACAGACACATCTGATGGAAGCTATCTCGGACTTGGTTTTTCTTGTGACTATAGTTTTGTGTTGCTATTGCTGTCGCTGTCGTCGCAACTAACCCGCTCCCAAACACAACTTGACATTATGATGAAGATTTATCTAAATATTCAGCAATTTTAGTTTTGATATATACTTTGTGAAAAATTACAAATTGGGCAGACTATAATTTGCCTATGATTTGAGCAAAAACACAAGCATTAGATATTTTATCTTTTATCTTACTTACAAAATGTATGTAGGGAAAATGTTGATAATCTTTGTTACTGAAACTAGCAGGATTGTCGACATTTCTTTTGGCTGGAATTACGTTTATCCAGAACATCATAAACCAACAACATGTTGTTGCTGCAATTTCGGGATGTGTTCCTGTTGCCAACGGGGTATGGGTAGCCTCGTGGTTGGAAGTGCGTCAAGTAACTGTTCTACTCACTATCTGATTCATCACTCTGATAAGACCCGAGTGTCCGGTGTGGGAATAGTGTACACTCACTCATGTATATCATCAAAGTAGGTCACAAGTTGACATGACGTAAAGCTGCCTTATCTCATTTAACGTTTTGACTGTAGTGTCATTGGAGAATCTGCGGAATTAATACAATTCGTGCACTGCAAATGTCTGACGGTATCAATTCACTTAATATGACTATTATCGTGTATATATACTTGGACATAAAAACATAAAATAAACATATTGTTTCTTTGTTTTCATAAATGTTAATGTTCCAAAAGCTTCAGTGATGATTAGTGTTCATTGTTCATGGACAAAATTCTTGAAACATATGTCTCCTTCAATGTATGACCTGGAGTGAGCGAGTGAGTTGGGTTTAAGGCCGCTTTTAACAGTTTTCCACTTATATCACAGTGTGTCAGCTTAATGTGGGAGGAAAGCCCGAAGGGATGCAGGCCGCAGACGTTTAAAAAACATAATTGGGTAATCGGGGCAAACCGGGATTCAAACCCACGATCATAGGTTTCTGACGTGTCCAAGGAAGGCAACTCTGCACAGAGTAAAATAAAACTTGACAATATGAAACAGTCTGAACTATAAAAGAACTCACATGAGTCACTCGTGGAAATGAATTATCGGATTCATAGTATTTATAAATGGAGTGATTCTTTTAACCTTCTAAAATAGTAGGATGTGACTGAACAACAGTGGATAGACAAGAGACATTCCAATTAGGTGTAATTCCGGAAATATAAAACTAATATTATCAAAGTTTGTTTAAAGGATCAGAATACAATCCCGATTGCTCTCGTACACTAACCATCCCTTAAGAGAAGGTGTCCTATATTTTATTTCTGAAACAACGAACACTGTGAAACTACTACAGTACAATGAAATATCGATTTAACTTTGAAATATACATGAACATTGATCTGCACGCTTGTGAGATCCAGTAGTATGTGTGTGTTTTGCGCAATCTCCAGGGTACACCTTCCAACAAATCAATATGTGTAGGTCACAATGACATAAGTCAATAGGGTATCCGTGGTAATATATTACCAAGAACATCTCAAACACTCATGTTGCTTGATGTGACAAGTGGTTACATCATCCATCATAGCGTTTTTCAACTGTTATCTAAATGTTATTGCATTATGCATAACCTTTGACTACATGCACAATTACAAGAGTATTGAGTTTGTGACATTAGTGAGCTTGAGTCGTCAGTAAATGAGTTATTAGCCTCCTCCTAAAACTGCCGAGAGAGGGCGCGGGCTTCCCACAAGGTTTATCTGACATAAATCAGGATCTGAATTAGAAAAAAAACCTCCCCGCTTTTCGGTTGTACAGATCTTTTACTGTTGTCAAGCAGGACTCGAAATGTATAACACATGCTTGTGTTCAAATCATAACTGAAAACGAGTTAATAAATAAACATTTTCATTAAAAAAAACAATCGGTAAGAGCCGATATTAACTCCATAAATGACAATCTGTCATTGTTTTGCATTGTATATGTGGAACTAACGTAAATAGAAAGTGAAATATCCTCTGTTTTCAAACAGAAACCACTTACTATTAAGGGGTGATAACGTGTAGGTAGGTAACTCCTGTAAGAAACTATTCCTGTAAAAGGCAGAGGATTTTCATGTGTTATGTTCACTGTTCATATATGCTTCATTCACATTGAGGTATATTATTAAACCTTTGGACCGTACACTCGGAAAAGTGTAATTCGAAATATGTTTCTGTTGGTGGAACGGTGAAGTACGATGCAGAACAGAAATTATTCTATTCCTTTCTCGGGCTTAGGAATAGTCCCATGGCAATGTTGCACAGCTTGCACCACTTTGTCAGTTCACATACTTGAAGCAGGTAAGATTAAAACGAATTTAGACCTTTTTGGTGCGTTGAAAGCATTATGTTGAGAGAGTACCCGAACACGTTAAGCGAAATAGACTATTGAAAAATACTCAACAAAGTAACTACGCCATAAGCCCCAAAGCATTGCTGAAGTATGTTACAAACAAGACGTATAAAAAATCTATCTTATACAATCTGAAAAGTACTATGATGCCTCCTTTCTACATGACCTTATGGTCATTTTGTCATTTTGTTCATTTGATGACATTTGTCTTGTTGTTGCTGCATCCATATGCCAATTCATCTGTCCATGTTTTACCTCTCTTCTGGAATGGACCATATACACAGAGAGCTCCTGATATTTACCCTACCTACAATGACAGGATATACAAACACCGATACGTAACAACCGTTCTTGATAACAGCTGAGCTTCAGATTTCCCACACTCATCATTTGGAACAATATGACAAATTACGTAGATAACAGGGACGAGACATCCTCAGTAACGAAACAATGGTTGGTCACGACTACCCTCAGACGAACAGAAAGTGTTTGGCCAACACATGTGTGGACTTGGTATGGAAGAGCACATGGTGATACAGGCTACTGACATGTTCCTCCGTTCCTAATGCCAAGGTCAACGTATCGACGTCATGGGCACACATCATTGGTGAATGTACCAGGACATGCTTATGTCCATGTAAAGAAACGTGGGTGGGGATTCAAACTCAGACAATATTATTGCAATGCAGCATGCCTTCCTTGTTTTCTGCTCGCTTTATCTTTCCAAAGTTACATTTTGCGTGTCTGTTTTCATAAACAGAAAACAATAAGGACACACCCACAAACGGACTGATTGGCTGATAATATATTGGAGCATGTGTGTCATTATTGCGCTGAACGATGTCACGGTTTTCGTTTTGTTGTGTTTTTTGTGTGTGAAGTTATTATTGTTGCGTATGTATTTATAAGAATATATTCAGAATGATTTGGTTTTTATCCCTCCATAAAGGCAAAGATGTATTGAAGTAAATTATTGAAGATATATATGAACTAAGAGGCAACAGGTCGGCATAAACCTTATAGGGTGAGTGTAATGTGTAGTTTCAAACTATAACAAATGGTAATGATTCAATGCATGAAGACTACGACCGAGTCCAATGCTATTGAATATTAACCCATGCACCATAGATATCTCACGTGGAAGCCATTTGCAAGTCTAAGGCGCCGCGATTCGCTGTGCAGAGTTGCGTCCCTTGGGCACGCCAGAAACCTCTGATTTTGGGTTCGAATCCCGGTTCGCCCCGATTTTGTTTCTTGGTTTGTCAGCACCATACCCGTGCTCGTGGGTTTCACCGAAGTGGTAAACGTCTGAGACGTGCATCGCTTTGGGCTTTCCTCCCACATTAAGCTGACATGCCGCGATATAACAAGAATACTGTTAAAAGCGGCGTTAAACCCATCTCACTCTCTCACTTACTTTACAATAGCTAAGGAGTGACTGAATCATAGGACAAGTGTGATTGAAGTGAAACTGGTTGTTAATAATTATGACAGTTTGTTTACACGTCTTTAAAAAAGAGTTATATGTTTTATATACATGGTGGCAACGTTTGTCTCAGAAAACGCAAATGCACAAGACAGTTATGATGATCATGAACATGATGCACGCGTTACGACACCCTGACATCTAATTCTGTAAGTGTACACAATGCACAGTTGAACACTTGGAACTGCAGTCCTGGCACAACGCCAATATCAGCTGCTCTGTCAATAGATATTGATCATGATGAGGTATTTCAAAGAATTTAGAAACAGGTTTAGCAAGTTAGGTAAAGCATTTCCAGTTTCCGTCGACGCCCTGCTAATATTGTGACAAGACATTTCGTACAGAACACTTTCATACAATGGATGCCCAAAGAGGATCGTCTTTCGTTAGTCTCTTGATCATGACTTATCTTGTGACAGTGACTTGTGAGTACAACATAATTTTTTTAGGTCCATAGTGTTAGAAAATTCCTTGTTACATAAATACTAGTATTGGCTGGATTTACCTTATTGTGAGACGCCACAGTAGATAAAGAATAATTGGCGATACCTATAGACACATTTAATACTGAAGAGAACATGTTTCCTGCCAATGACAATGCCATGAAACATCTGTCAATGATATCCCTGTTTCACAACATATGTAGACTGGATTGTTCGAGATAGGACAAACATATTTATTGTCAACGTTTGACTAAACTTTTACCGTTTGCTGTGATTTGAAGACGAAATGCTAATAATGGGCAGGCTCATCATACTAATATTAGAAATGTAGAGAATTTTAATTTTATGTCTACTATTTACTTTGTCAGCAGATTAGAAGAATACGTAATTTGCTTCTGAATAAAAAGTACAATGCATCTTTCAGCATGATTACATGAAACGTTTCTTCACTTCCATGTGTGCGAAGTTCTTCAAGTTAAGGATGTTGACGTATATATATGTGTGTGTGGAGTTATGGGTCAAAATGAAAATATTATTTCGAGTTATTTGCCGATCCCATACATGACGTAAAACGAACAATTGTGATGAAGATTATATGAATTGATCACTAAAAATCAGTGATGATACCAGGTGATCGCTTTAAGGCTAAACATGACCTGATCTACCGGTAGCACCCGTCACTCACATAAGTTGCATAAAGCAAGTAAGTGTTAGTAATAAGGAGATGTGAATACTCCGGAATACAATACGGGGTGGCACAGTGCATCATATTGACATACGACTTCTCCTACTTACTAAATTCGTCTGAATGTCTACCATGCAATGTCAAAAATTCTCTCAAGGCAAGAACGGCATCTACTTCACCTAATGCTGATTCATTTACAGTAATTTCGTTACACTCACTCTACTTCATTGGTATTGAATTGAAACACTTAGAAGCACACGCCCTTGTGTATACAAGTTACTTTCATTCCTCTTTCTGAAAGGGGAGAGTGTTGTAGTTGTGAAAGCTTTGGCTAATCATGGCAAAGACCCGTGTTTGATTCCCGACCTGAGAACTATGTGTAAAGACTATTCACAGCAAAAAAGTTTAGGTTTCCGTCTTCTGGAAACCTGTCGGATCCCTTCCCATTTTGGATTAGGCCCGGATACCTTCCGGAAACCTTCCAAAAAAAATGTCAAAATTTGGGGGGTGCATTTTGTTCACTTTAGTGTGAAACACATAATTATCTTGAAAATACCAAGAAATTTGAAGGTTGCTGAAGGCATCTGGAAGGTTTCCGGATGCAAATTTTCTTCATATCTTGTTTCTGGTAAATAATGTTAGCCTGTGCATTACAGATAGCTGTTGTAATATTCTATGTTACTTTAATGGTAAATATCCCCCTAAAACATTTTTGGAGAAGACAATTGTTCAATTTCATATATTGTTCTTTTCAGATGTTAATGGTATTTAATGAACAAACATCAGTTCTCGTATAATGATATCCTTAAATTTCATGTCCAAACTTCCAGTTTGTACAGAGAAAATGAAAAAGTCATTGACCGTGT